CACACACAACCACCACCAACAGCAAAAAGCCTTCTAATCTCAAAGGGAATATGAGGTTTAGTTACTCTTCTCACTTCTGCAGCAAAATCTCTGGGAAGACGTGTTCTAAGAAGGGTTTATCCTGGCTTACATGTTCAGGGGACACATTCCATCATGGTAGGGAAGGCATGGTGAGAGCATCCGTCACATGGCATCCGTCAGTAGGAGTCAGAGCGCAAACAGGAATTTGGGCTCTCTATAAAACCTCAAGACCGGTCCCCCATGACCCACCTCCTCTATGAAGACTCCATTTCTGAAAAATTCCACAATATTCAAAAACAATGTCACAAGCCTGGGACCAAGTGTTCAAACACATGAAACTATGGATGACATCTTCAAATCACAATGTAACATTAATTCTAGACCCAAATATGAGTAAGCGGGGCCCAGAAACACAGAATTAGCTTACCTTAAACCACATATGCCTAGGTCATTATAGTGGTAGGACTTTTCCTGCTTTCTGTAGTAACAAAATAGTCATATAGGATGGCACATTTGAATACATTGGTGGCAACATCAGGGAGGCATACTGCATCAAAATGTGGAGATCTCTGTAATAGAATTTAGATGCTAATGATGACACTATTAGTCTATTGATGGGTAAAGAGGGGAAGGAACATTGGCTGTGATTCCCTAGAGAGCCATGTGGATCTCAGGAGTAGATTATTTAGTGTGAGTTAAGGTTGGAGTCCCCTTCCTTTTGGGTTTCTCTGGCTCATTTGTAAATGACAAGGTCTTGGAAGGATGAGAAACCATATATAAATGGTACCTCCAACTGCTTGCCTTGTTTCTTAGACAAGAATAAAATATGATTTTATGAAAATATGATGCTGTAATTAGTGTGTCATTAAGTGGCCACCACTCTTCCTGTTCAAATTCCACTGTGGCTAAAAGGAATTGTAGAGAATAAACAAGGCACCACCTCTTTAAGTTGCCATGGTCAAATTGTCAAGGTTTCATTCTACATCCTAAATGGTTAAGGATACAGTCAAGTGGAGATCTGAACATGATTAAGAGCACACATCCTATGGAATTCCAAAAGAAAGCAGGAGATGCAGCCACACAGAAGGTAAAGGTCATTAGAAATATAGAGTTCTTCTAGAGACATCTGAGAGATCTCTGGATGCTATCATGTGTTACTGAGGACATCCTTGTCCACAACTTGGGGCTTTGGTTTCCAGGCATCTCTAGGACTTGGGTGGGAACTGATGCTGCTTAATTTGGAGTGATTTCTACAAGTGTATCACTGTAGTAAAAGATTGTGTCTGACCTCAGAACTGTATGACCTAGCAGGCTGTATCATCCTACCAGTTCCAATATGTGATCTCTGCCCAGAATTTCTAAAGAGATAAGTGTTAGTGATGTGCCTAGATGCAGCCAATATCAGGGAGGATTTTTTTCATTTATAGTTAGTTTGGGGTGAGATTAATACCATACCCATTTATTGCATACAGAGTAAGCTTACACACATTCTGACTGCCAATGCTTGTGGCAAATACATCTTCTGTAAGAAGCACATTGAAGAGTAAATCCAACATGAAGAAACCTCTGACATCACACACTTACATGAATCACAACCTTAGGAAACACCTTGCACCCACTACCTGTACAGTAAGAATGAACATGCCTGGAAAAGAATTCCATAGCAATCAAATAGGAGAAATTTTAGCATGCACTATTTAGTAACATTTGACCAATAAAGCACTTGTAATTGAATGTTAATATTTTTGTGTGCATGCACTCATTCATGTTTGAGTGTGGTATGCGTGTGTTGGGGTGCTTCCTGGAGGTCAGAGGACAACCTCAGGTGTCATTCTTCACCTTCTACCTTGTTTAAATCAGGGTCTTTGTATTTCTCCAGCGTACAGCAGGCTCTATGGACTATAGGTGTCCAGGTATTATTCTGCTTCTGCCTCCTACAGCACTGTAGGTATGTTGGGATTGGGTGTGTGCACTACTGTGTCTTATATTACATGGATTCAAACCCTCAAGTTTTCAAAGTTGTGTTATGAGCTCTTTACTAACTTGGCCATCTCTCCATCCCAAATGTTTTTAGAATGTTCTTGACATTGTAAAGACTCAGAAAGAGCAGATTTTACTCGTGAAAAACACTGAGTTGTTTTAAACATGGATAAGGCCTTTTTTTTTTTTTTTTTCTACTCAAAGGACGTACAAGTCAATGTCAGAAAACATATCCTTTAGAAGGAAGAATTTTAGTAAAATTTTATCCTTTTACTGAAATCAGTCCTTTGTACAAGATTATGTAATGGCAGTCAATGCTTACGTTTACTTCCTGCATTTTTCTTTACTATTTTCAGCGTACTAGTGTATTGCCTTCATATATGCAACTGTACCTGTGTCATTCAATGTCTGTGGAGGTCGGAAGTCATCAGATTCTCCTGGAATTGGAGTTATGGATGGTTTTTAGCTGTCCTGTGGGTGCTGGGAGTCAAACCAAGGTCCTCTACAAGAGTAGCCAGTGCTCTTAAACACCGAGCCCTCTCTCCAGCCCCACCTCCTGAATTTTTAGATGAATAACGGGCAGACCTTTGAGTTTATTTTCAAGGACACAAATGACTGGAGAGGTCAACAGAATCATATTCAATATCTTAGTTATTTTTTTTTAATCTTCTTTGTGTGGTCCATTTCTTCTCTGATTTTATGTAAGATGGACTTTCATTTATTTAATCCTCAAAAACAGGTTTCAGAGCCATGACTGCACCCTCTGTAAACTCCTGTAAGGTGTTGAAGCTAGGACACATTCTGGCTATTCAGTTATAAATCTAGATGGAACCTTTAGGGGACATGTCTCAGTGCCAGAGCTTATCTTTTATTACATATAAGGGAAGAGGGTTTTACTGATGCTGGAATTTCGGGGACTAAGGTGAAAAATGGGAGCTCTTAGGCTTCAGTTTCCCCAACAACAGTATATGCTACAAAAACTTGTTTACAAAAGTAACTGGTTAATGATTAAGACAGAAAAAAAAGCATAATTATGGAAGGAAAATTAGTCATTTTATGTATAATAATGAAGTTACTTGAGGTACTTTGATGGCCATCTGTAGCTGTTTAAGTCAGGATCCCACTACAAAAGCTTAGGCAGCATTACCCTTCAGGCTCAGCCAGCTATCACTGGAGTTGAAGACCCAGCCTCATATTAGAGAATTTGAGTATGTCCCTCACTAGTGACTTCACTTATTTGCCGGGGGGTTGGGGGGGAGAGGCTGTTTTCTTTTAGAATTCCATTAACAGTATTCTTTTCCATTGGTATATATTACACCTATGGTAATTGCCCCCCCCCTTTTGAACCTTCTCTCATCTTTGGGTTTCTGTGACCTCGCAGATACTGATCAGTCCAGGAAGATAATTTTGAGGGCTCAAGTTATCAATTTGGGTTGTTGTTGCATTTATATTTGCTGGGTGTTTTGGACTGTCTTATTTTGCCAAAAAGTACAAAAGGGAAAATTTTAAAGGGATGCCTGGAGTAGACTGATTAGTGAAATAAGTAGTAATCATCTACACTTCCTAGACAAATATAATCCTTTACATACTGTAAGCTTTATATATATATTGTTCTTTTTGAGACAGGATTTCTCTGTAGCCCTATCTGGCCTGGAACTCACTATTTGGGCCAGGCTGGCCTTGAACTCACAGAAATCTGCCTGCCTCTGCCTCCCAAGTCCTGGGATTAAAGGTGTATGCCACCATGCCTGGCTTCCCTTTTATCTCACAAACCTCTTTGTAACTTCCAAAGAACTGTAGTAACAGGCTGAAACTTTCTTTCTTTTTTTTTTTTTTTTTTTAGACAGGGTGTCCCTATAGCACCAGCTGGCCTGGAACTCGCTATGTAGACCAGGCTGGCCTTGAACTTACAGAGATCTGCCTGCCCCTGGGGTACTGGGATTAAAGACGGGCACCACCATGCTCGACAGCTTTCTGGTTCTGTCATCACTTTTTCCTCTTTCCATTTTGGAACAGTCCACGTTAGGGCAATATTACCATACAAAAACCAATTTTATTTAAAAAGTAGTAGTCTTTTCTCTATAATCATTATATCTATACCTACATATCTATCATGTCTATATTTTTCATAAATAGTGTGCTTTCTCTTGCTTCTGAAAATGAGGAAAATACTTGATTTGATAATAGAATAGTAATGTCCCAATGAAGACACAAAATTTGCACGTGGGGATAGAGAGATGGATCAATGGCTAAAAGCACTGGCTACTCTTGCAGAAGACTTGGGTTCAGTTCCTAGTATCAACATGGTAGCTAACAACCATCTGTAACTCAAGTTTGAGGGGCTCCAACACCTTCTTCTGACTTCCACAGGCATTGTACAAGGGTGCACTTAAATATATGCAGGCAAAACACCAACACATTAAAAAAAATCATACAGGCTAAATATGTTAAGTGTGCTGCAGACATTTTTATTTCCACAATAAAATTAGTTTGTTTGACATTTAAGTCCCTTTATGACACTTAGAAATTGTTTTTGTAAAAAGGAATTTCTCTGGTGTACTACATATAGAGCACCAGACCAAATGCAAATTGTGTATCCTACAGAAGAACTTGGCCAATAGAAGATCACCACCCATCAATTCTGTTTCTCTACAACCCACCCTATTACCAGAAACTATGCAACAAAGAATGCTGGAGAGGAACAGAAACAACAGAAGATGTATGTGCCATGAAAGGGGCTCAGTAGATGAGCTCACAGTGGTGTTGATAGTCCAGCAATGTCTATGTGCAGGACAGAGAGACAAACAACCACAGCTGGTTGCCTTAGCACTTTCATTCTGGCAGAGAAGATCTGGAAAATTACTAGAGTTGCTGCTATTTAACCCATGTTGGAAGGCCAATGGAGTTGCAGTCTGTCACTGGAGGACTGTAGCAGCAACAGCAGCAGCCACAGGACCAGGCACACTCAGCAGAAAGAAGAAAACACATGAAGGCAGGAATCACTGCTTTTTACTCAGACAATTTTTATTAAAGTGCCAATCACATGTTCTACCTGTTCTCTCAATCAAAGCCTGACTCTAGATATTATAGACACATACATAAGTCAATTTGCCCTTTAAGTAGTGACAAACACATCATATGGTATCTATGCCTATCAGTGACAGGCACATACCCTCACAAGTGTGGACACTGTCACAGGCCTCTTACAAGCATCTCCAGGCAAGTGAGGAACAGAAAAAGCCACCAACAAGGCTTTCCCCCAACTCAGTGTTAACTGGCTATGACAAGGCTACTCATTTCACAAACACTGATGCACAGATCTCAACTAAAGGCAATCCAGGTGCAAAAGTACATCCCCCTAACTCACAAACCTACTGGGGCTAGTTAATATTTAAATGTATTATTAGTAGCTGGGTGTTGGGACATGCCTTTAACACCACCACCTGGGAGATGGAGGCATCCCACAACCATGAAGGCTATTGCCACTACCGTTGGTTACATGCTGAAACAGGATGGTCACTACTGAAGACATCACATGCTTGGGTTGCAGGGCATGGAAAAATGATGCTGTAGTAAGGTGGACACTTCCTCCATACTGGCTGGCTTGCATGGTGCCAGGTGCAATGCAGATGGCTCGGGGAGAATTGTCACCAACCATCCTGCTCAGCTACAAACACTGTGATCAGTACCAAGAGGACAGGGAGAATATGCCTCCTGGTGCAATAGTAGCACAACTACTGTTTGAGTCCAACAAGCAGCTTTCAGATTGGATTTAAAGCCCACTCCACAGGAGAAAGTTTGTGTCTGATATTATAGGCCAGGAATAAAACTTGCTGGATAGGTCATAGGCCCCAGAAGGTAGTAACTGCTATTGTTCTGTTAGGTGATATGATGTGCCTCTCAAATTTTCTTCTAAACACTTCAATTCATGCCTAATAGATCACTACTATGTCAGCTGCCATCCACCCTGGAAGGAAACTTCCTTTCACAATGGATGGTATACCACAAAGACTCAGAACCAATGATGAAGATCTGAGAAAAAGTCAGTATTGCTCTGGCACAGTGAACTAATGTGAGCCATAGATGATCACTTATATCCCTCTACCTGCCCCCAAGGATCTAGAAGCATTACCAAAAAATGTAAGAGCCAGAGGAGGGGTAGACTATTGTCTAGCAATTTCCTCAGAATTGACAGTCTCTCAAAGGGAGGCATGAGACTCAAGAAATAAAACAAGGTCTAGAAAACTTGAATTTACAAGATTCTCAAGGCCACTCCGCAAGGTTATAGAAGCAGCAAATAATTATGAAAAGAAATTCCCCAACTAAGCTGCCTGCCAATTATGCAAAGATCTCAGGATTGCAGCTTCCATGAGACATCACTTAGGCTGGATGGGCTTTTTGGTGATGCATCTGACTGTCCATGCTCCTGGAAGTAACCCCAATAAAATCATAGGTTCACCTAAGTGAATTTGGAGAGAATTACTTTTTTTCTGTCACCAGTTCCCTGTCTCAGGTGAGTAGACATTTTCTCCTCAGGAAAAGTCTCATACAATAGTGCTCTTAGGACTTCAATTCCTCAATCCTTGACCCTGTTGTTTATACTCTTAGAGATTTAGAGTGAGTTCTTATCCATAACTGAAGTGAACTCATAAAGTACTAACCACGTGGATTTTCTAGGAATTTTCTCCCATGGGTTATATATTGAAGGAACACTGTGTGTAAAACTGATCTCCCATGTTATTTCAGGAAGTTTACCAATTACAGGCATTGTTCACATTCACAGTGTTCTTTGTCACAATTTCCTCTTATAATTGTAAGGAACTATGAAATGTAAAGGTTTTCTTATTTTGTATTAACAGAGTTTTTCTCCAGTATGAATTTTTTTCATGTAATTTAAGATAAATGTACCACATGTAGGATTTACCAGATTGCTTTCATTCACTGGGCTTTGGTCCAATATGAATTTCCCACACACAAAAAAGATAACTGTGACATCTAAAGAATTTATCTCACTGTCTAAATTCATAGTTTTACTAAAATATGAATTCTTTCATGTAATTAAAGATGACTGTGACGTCTAAAGGCTTTTCCACACTGTTCATATCAACAGAGTTTTGTCTAGTATGAATTTTTTCATGTCTTTGAACATCACTGTGACATCTAAAGGCTTTGCCACATTGTTTACACTCATAGGGTTTTTCTCCAGTATGGATTCTTTCATGTCTTTGAAGATTACTGTAACGTCTAAAGGCTTTATGACACTGTTCACATTCATAGGCTTTTTCTTCAGTATGAATTTTTTCATGTAATTTAAGATTACTGTAATGTCTAAAGGCTTTGCCACATTGTTTACATTCATAGGGCTTTTCTCCAGTATGAATTTTTTCATGTAATTGAAGATAACTATGGCATCTAAAGGCTTTACCACATTGTCGACATTCATAGGGTTTTTCTCTAGTATGAATTTTTTCATGTCTTTGAAGGTCACTATAACATCTAAATGCTTTACCACATTCTTTACATTCATAGGGTTTTTCTCCGGTATGAATTTTTTCATGTCTTTGAAGATTACTGTGATCTGTAAAGGCCTTCCCACATTGTTTACATTCATAGGGTTTTTCTCCAGTATGAATTTTTTCATGTAATTTAACATTACTGTAATGTCTAAAGGCTTTACCACACTGTTTACATTCATATGGTTTTTCTCCAGTGTGAATTTTTTCATGTAATTGGAGATAACGTTGACATCTAAAGCCTTTTCCACACTGTTTACATTCATATGGTTTTTCTCCAGTATGAATTTTTTCATGTAATTGGAGTCGGCAGTGACGTCTAAAGGCTTTACCACAATACTTACATTCGTGGGGCTTTGCTACAGTATGAATTTTTTCATGTCTTTGAAGATGACTATGATTTGTAAAGGCTTTACCACACTTTTCACATTTATAGGGTTTTTCTCTAGTATGAGTTTTTTCATGTCTTTGAAGATCACTGTGACGTCTAAAGGCTTTAACACATAGTTTGCATTCATATGGTTTTTCTCCAGTATGACTTTTTTCATGTAACTGTAAGGAACCAGGAAATGTAAAGGCCTTACCACACTGTTTACATTCATATGGTTTTTCTCCAGTATGAATATTTTCATGCAATTTAAGATTACTGTGACGTCTAAAGGCTTTCCCACACTGTTTACATTCATAAGGTTTTTCTCCAGTATGAATTTTTTCATGTAATTGGAGATGGCTGTACCGTCTAAAAGCTTTATCACATTGTTTACAGGCATATGGTTTCTCTCCAGTATGTGTTTTTTCATGTCTTTGAAGATTACTATGTTGTTTAAAGGCTTTCCCACATTGTTTGCATTCATAGGGTTTCTCTCCCGTATGTGTTCTTTCATGTCTTTGAAGCTGACTATCATGTCTAAAGGCTTTACCACAATGTTTGCATTCATGAAGTATTCCTCCAGTATGAATTTTTTCATGTCTTTGAAGATTATTGTGATCTGTAAAGGTTTTACCACACTGCTTACATTCATAGAGTTTCTCTCCAGTATGTGTTCTTTCGTGCCTTTGAAGATGACTGTCATGTCTAAAGGCTTTACCACAGTGTTCACACTCATATGGTATTCCTCCGGTATGAATTTTTTCATGTCTTTGAAGATTACTGTGATCAATAAAGGCTTTACCACATTGTTTACAATCATACGGTTTTTCTCCGGTATGAATTTTTTTATGTAATTGAAGACTACTGTAGTGTCTAAAGGTCTTACCACACTGTTTACATTCATAGGGTTTTTCGCCAGTGTGAATTTTTTCATGTAAATGTAAAGAACTAAGAAATCTAAAGTTTTTACCACATTGTTTACATTCATAGGGTTTTTCACCACTATGAATTCTTTCATGTCCTCGAAGAGAAGTAGAAGAACTCAGCTGTTTCCCACATACATTACACTGATAATGCTTTCTTACAGTTTGAGTTCCTCCAGATGTACGAAGTGAACTGCCATCAGCAGAGGCCTTTCTATATTCTTTGCATTGACAGAGTTTTTTTTCAACGTGTGTTTCTTGATGTATTACCAACGAACTTGGAAAATCAAAATAATTTAAACTTGCTTTATATTCCAAAGGTTCATTCATAATATGAGTTTTCATATACCCTTGACAGTTTGGGAGAGAGTTAGAGTTCTGCAGCTTGTTTCCATACTCCTCATGCTCAAATGGTTTGTACTGAGAGTGAGAGGCAGGATGGTTATGAAAGGGTGAACACATGGAAACCTTCCCACACACTTTGCTTTCACATGGTGTTAGGCCACTAGAACTTTTCATGATCATATTGGCATTAGCTATCCAAGTGAAAGTTTCTCCATCCTGATGATCTTTACGCTCACAGAGTCTCTCGAACATGCAACTTCTATAAAAACAACAAGTATATTACTAAAAGTCAATTTATTACTGTTTATTACAAAGTGTAGGTCATATACTATTCCCAAAACCAGGTAAAATGTCTTCTACATATCTGAATGGTTTGAAACTAAACAGATTGATAATTCTACAATATGGCTCCCACAAAGCTATGACAAAAAGAGTGACATTTGTTAATGGGAGTTCCTAGTACTGTTTTTAAGTGAAATGCCCTGCAAACACTGAATAGCATTCTTAAATTGAGGTAAATGTTACATTTCCAAATGATAAAAGTAAATAAAGCAGTCCTTATATCTTCTGTTTACTTATTCATAAATGCCTATGTTAAAATACTTTAAATGGGAGGATGGAGAGATGGCTCAGCTGTTAAGCACAGTTGCTGCTCTTCCAGAGAACTAGAGTGTGGTTGCCAGCACCCAAGACAGGTAGCTCACAACTTCTTGCAATTCCAGGGCCATGAGTCCCAACAACTTCTTCAGACCTCAAGCACAAGCACACAGATTTGCAAAGACACACAGACACACAGGCAGGCAGGCAGGCACACACTCACACAAATAAATAATAAAATAAATCTTTTAAAAATTCAAAGAAACTTTGCTTTTACTTTTTCAAATTACCTTGGATTTTTTTCAGAACTTTTATAATGGTCTTTAGTAGTCTCATCTTCACATTTGTTTCCTAAAATTGTAGACAAAGGAAATTTATGATGAATTAGAAATTTCTGAAAAATTAGTTTGTAGCTTTAGTCTCTATGAACCATGCCTGATTTATACACCACATTCTTCCCTTTCATTATCCCAAATCACAGAAGAGCACTGATACCAAGAGACTCTTTTTCCTAATATATTAAGGGACGGTAAGATGATATTCTTACCTATAAAAGTGAAGTTCCTGCAGGTTTCCAGCATCACATCTCTGTAGAGATTCTTCTGAGAAGGATCCAGCAAAGCCCACTCTTCCTGAGTGAAGTTCACAGCAACATCTTCAAATGTCACAGAATCCTAAACATTGATAGACTCAATTGACAATAGGTTCACACAGTTCTGTGCTATCCACACATTTTGTTCAATGGCACAGAAGTTCTAATGCAAGCTTGGAGTGGTTCTGAAAGGACAGAGCACTGGAGGGACACTCCTCTCACTACTGTGCACAGGGCACAGGATGTGCTGCTGCTCTGCCTCAATTCTTTCTACAGAGTATGTCTACTTCCTGTCTTAAGAAAGTCTGACCCCTGATGTACAGAACAGAGGGCAATTACCATGCAAGGGTCTGCTTGCCCTTAGAAATTCTTATAATGTTTAAGTTTTGACAATTGAGGAGAGTTAACATTTTGGTACAGACTGCATGAATGTAAATGATAAATCACCTAGCATAAATGATTTAAACACTCTGGTACATTATGAACCATAATGAAAGTTTCATTCACATTCTGAAAGTTTATTAATTTATTCAGAACTCACAGAGGTACCTGTGACCCTGAATACTACTAGACATTGGTTGTAATGAGCTTCCCTGGTGGGCATAATTTCACAGATGCTGTCACAATTTATTAAACAGGGAAATGAGCCCATTTTATGTGCTTACAGAAGAGATAATGTATATGTTACAAGTGGTTTACTCAAGCACAATTTTAATCAAATAAGAAACATGATACATGCCCAATATTTAAAGATCCTAAAACAATAGTTTCTAAAATTTATGAGTAATGTCAAATGAGAATAGAGTAAGTGTAAAGGCAACAATGTACTTCAGAAAGAACTCAAATGCAGTCAGTCACGTTGACAGGTGTGTATAGTCACAACTGCATCAAAGAATGAGGCCGAATGTTCACTTGAGCCCAAGAGTCCAAATCAGCCTATGCAACACAGTAAAACATCCATCTCAGGAAGAAGATAGGGTGAGACGAAGGTTTGAAATGGGGAAGGGCAGGAAACAGTACAGGGACTCCAAAATTCGTGGTTTCATTTTACACTATAAGAAAGAAATCACGCTCCAAACAAGACTTCTTTGTACTAAACAAAAATTAGTTTTTGACAACTGGAGAGATGGCTAAGTGGTTAAGAGCACATATTGCTCTTCCAGCAGACCTGTGTTCAATTCCCAGCACCCTCATTAGGAGGCTTACAACAGCCTGTAACTCCAGCTCTAGGGAATCTGTGGGCACTGCACTCACATGCACAAACCCACATACATGGATACATAATTAATAATAATCAATCTGGGTGTGGTGGCACATGCCTTTAATCCTAGTACTCTGGCGGTGAAGCAAGCATATCTCTGTGAGATCAAGGCTAGCCTTGTCAACAAAGATACAAAGCGAGTTCCAGGCCAACTGAAGCTTCAGGGAGACTCTGCCTTAAAAAAAAAAAAAAGACCTAGGGGCTGGAGAGATGGTTCAGTGGTTAAGAACACTGACTGTCCTTGCAGAGGACCCAGGTACAAATCCCAGCACCCACATGGAAGCTAACAACTGTCTGTAACTCCAGTTCCAGGGGATCCAACAGCCTCTTCTGTCCTCCGCGGGCATTGCACTACACGGGTGCACTTACCTACATGCAGGGATAACATTCATACACATAAAATAAAAAAAATAAAATAAAATATTAAAAACAAAAACAAAGACTTAATAATATTTTCTTAATTTATTTTTTGAAACTGATCAGAGGCAGTCTAGCAACTGTTAAAATCAAAGAAAAACATGGTGATATTTTGCCTAAAACACTTCAAGGACTTCCAAAAATACAGTAAAGACAAAAGGCCAAAGTTAATTGCTGCATCTTAAAAATCCGATTTCAGAGTCCAGGGAGATGGCTCAGCAGGTAAAGGACTTACCACATAAGCTTGATGACCTGAATTTGATTCCAGAAGCCCACATAAAGGTCAAAAGAGAGAACACAGTACAAAAAGTTCTCCTCTGACAACTGTGACATGTACACACCCACATATATACACATTATACAAATAATAAAATTTTAAAACTTAAAAATTAGGCATCAACATTTTCAGCCTGACCCTTAGTGACCCATGACCTATTGTACACATCTTTAAACTCATTCCTAATGACAATGGTGCCTTATAAGATAAGTACTCTTAAACAAGTTAAGCTCTTCAATTTCAGTCTTAACGAAATGACATGAACTGCAGTAGTATGCCAGATATGGATTCTGATCTGAGAAAAATCACAGTTGGCCAGACCTTCACTTCCCCAGAAGACTTCTCCACAAGAAAAATACAAAGCTGGTACCTTTGTGAACATCACCTCCAAGTCAGTCCAACTTACCACTCAGGCACCCAATAGTTGGCTCCAAAATGAAACTGGGTTTCACTTTTCATGAGGCAGAATCCACTGCTGTAAATGGCATATCATGGCTTAGAGTATCGAGTCAAGTTCCTTTCGCATAACTGGGAAATGTGTTACATCTATATGTGCCTTTTCAATTAATACTATACATAATTAATTGGGACCTATGATGGGTCTTGCACCCTCCATTTGACCTGTGAGAAGGACTCACAACTTGTACAAATTTGAAACTCAGACCTTTTCAAGTGACTTTTCATGGGAAGATATCTAATCATACCAGAGAGGGCAACAACACTCAAAAGAAATGATTCCATCGAAGTCTAGATTAGTAATTTACTGCAGTTACTTACAGGACCATGGCTGACAGAAAGACAGCTCTACCATGGAAAACCCCCCTTAGCATGTGTAATGGCTCATAAAAGTTCCATCTAGAAAGGTTCCTGAACAACTCCCAGGGAAATTCTAGGGCAGTCACCATCTTCAAATCTTGTTTTAGGAGACTCTTTTGCTTTCTTTTTTCTTTTCTTTTCTTTTCTTTTTTTGGTCTTTTGAGACAGGGTCTCCTGCAGTCCCAGCTGGCCTGCAACTCACAGAGATCTGCCTGCCTCTCCCTCTGCCTCCCAAGTGCTGTATGTGTCTGTGTCTGTGTATGTGTTCCTTAGAGGCTAGAAGATGTCAGATTCTCTGGAACTGGAGTTATAAGCAGTTGTGAGCCCCAGACATGGCTGCTAGAAATGGAACTGCTGAGTCATCTCTCCAGCCTCCCAAGTTTACTTTTTGAGTATTTAAAAATCTATCTATTCCCTACATGAGAAAACACTAATTTAGAAGAAATACCTATGCAAAATTCCATCTGTTTCTCAGGTTCCTAGATTTTTTTTTTCTGGCCATTCTTCTGACATGTCCTCTGAGCCCCTTTTTGTATCCTTCTGTGCTTTTGATGACTTCTAACACAAAGGGACAAAGGTGTAATGGGGCAGAGGCAGGCACTTGTTTAGCCCGTTCTACAGGGATCTTACACTGCTCAAAGGCCTCATCAGCCTTTTTCCCCTCACAGGGCATTCCTCTATTATCAATTTATGTAAAGAAAGGGTAACTTCAGGAGGAAGGGGTACAAAAAACCAATACCCTAGAAGTCCAGTAGCTGTTTAACATATACAAACACGGGGTGTTATAGGATTTTCCCAATAACTTTGCAGGGTATCATAAGCATTTTATCCAACCATAACATGGCCCAGAATTTACAAGTGTGTCCCAGTCCTTGTACCCTGTGTGACTTGATCTCCCATCATTCCTTGAAGAGCCACTGTATGTCTTTTAGATGCTTTTCCAAACCTGTAAAACACTCGATTTTACTGCTATTTCATCTATGTAAGGAAACTTTTCCATAGATGAAAGGCTGGATAGTGAAGCAAGGTACTGACATGGCACCCTATGATAAGTACTCAACGATGGGGACATATACAGCTAGCAATTGCTGTGCTAGTGCTGTGTGCTCAATTCCTCCTTGCAATGACTCATATAAAAACTCCACGGCAATTGTTTGCTAAGGACCTTTTAGCCAAAGTCTCCAGCTAAAGACATATATCAGTTGTTCAGTCAAAAGAACAGTGTTGGGTACAATGGCACAGATGGAGGATGGCACCTCTAAAAGCCCTCCACAACCCAGCCATTTTCTTTGTGTGTGTGGTCACAGCAGCAGGACCCTTAAATCTACAAGAATTAAAGCTGTTGTTTCAGTGAAGGGCAGAGCTTCTTAACTTTCTGCACTTACATCTTTTTGAATGTGAAAATTTACTCTACTCCATGTATTTAAGTATATAAATCAAACAATATTGATAATCATAAGGAAAATTATTTTGAAAAACTTCTTTGTATATGTGTCATTTTATGGGTTATTAATGATGAAAGCAAATTTGCACACCAATGAGCTACTTGTGCTGTGAATTTGATAGAGCGGGATGTACTGTCAAAGTTTTTCATATTTCACAGATATTTTGATTTTAAGATGGTTTATACTTTGTATAAAAATGTAGCATAAATTGCAGAAGTATGTTCATGGCTATTTCAAACACTGCTATAAACTCTACCCTAATTTCAAGCAAAAATTCACTCAATATTTTTTTTAACTAATACTCAAGAACTCGTCATAATTTTTTTGAAGGCAGGAGCTAATTTTATAGCCCAGGCTGGCCTTGAGCTCTCTATGTAGCCCAGGGCAGCCTCAAACTTGTAGCATTTCTACTGCCTCTGCCTTTTGGATATTGAGATTAAGGTGTCAGCCACCATACTCAGTTCAAAGAGATTATTTGTTTGGGACTGGATCTCCTGTACCCCCAGCTGGCATGGAAATCACTCTGTAGACTAGCCAGGCTAGCCTCCACCTTACAGAGATCTTCCTGCCTTTGCCTCCTGAGTTCTGGAATTAAAGGCATGAATGACCACATCTGGATTCAAAGAGAATTTTAAAATAAAAGATTCTAATACAGTACAATCCTGATATACTTATTTGAAATTTACATGCTAAAGAATGGCAGTAGGAAAACATCGTCTATGTTTAACTAAAAACATAATAGTCTAGATGTGAATGGAAGTGTTTCATGCAGCATCTGCTAAACAGCTGCAGAGTGCAATGGCATGCTGGATGCAAAGAGCTCACATTCTGTGTTAACAAACAAAGCTGCCATGGTATCACATGCA